TTTCCTTATGTATTTTATATAAAGTGCATTAATTTCCTTATGTATTTTATATAAAGTGCATTAATGAATATAGAATTTTAGATCTATTTGATGATTCATCTATAAAAAATGTCATTATTTTATTCATATATGATGGAAAGATTTTCGAGTTATGTCTTATAGGAAAAAAGTCCGAATATCATAAAGGTTATTTTGTCGAATTTAAGATTGATTGTCAACATTGTTTAAATAATGGTTAGTCTTAATGAAAAAAAATCTAAAATTCAATATGTTGTACAAAACAAAACTGAATGGGTTGATGGTAACGTTTACTTTTTTTTTATTAATTTTTTTTTTCGAATATTATTTTATTAATTAATTTAAGTTAATTTATGAAAAATAAATATGATTTTTATCAATGATGAAATAAAGGAGCTTTTTAATTTAGAATAGATAAAGAGATGACTATTTACCTAAAAATATAGTTATTAGAATAACCGTCTTCTCACCTTCTATTTATCATTGAAATTTCTACAAATTTTCATAGTTAAATCTTATATAAAAAAAGAATTTTTTTTTCGTGTTTTTTTAAACATGTAGTTTTCATGATTAAACAAAATTGACTTCTCTTTTATTAGATGAAAATTTTCATTTAAATTATCGAATAAATCAACAATTTAAATATTATTTATTTAAAATGATTTTTTCAAAAAATAAATTATATATTTTTATGGTTATATTCTAAGAATGAAAACAAAATGTTAACTTTTAGAAATAAAATCGACTTTTATCGAAATGAATCGTTTTCAACATAATAGAATAGATTTCAAATATTCTATTATACTTTATTTATTCTTGTTAATCTTTGTCGATCTTCGAAATAATAAAATCATATTTTAATATTTTTATTTATATTAATTATTTATCTTGTTCGATATTGAACATAACAATTTCTTCTTTAGAATAAAATTCTACTCAAATTGACTTCATTTATAATGAAAACAAATTAGTTTTTTTCCAATAAATAAAAATCTCTTGTTTACTCTATTGATAAATAATGATCTGATCATAAATGAATATATATTCTATTATCATCATTTTAAAAATCTTATTTAAATAGAAGAGATTTTTTTTAACTATATTAGAGAAAAAGAAAACATTGACGAGCGATTTTTGTTATATAATTGTAAATTTCTAATAAAAAAAAAATTTAGATGAAAATAAATTTGGTAGAAGAATGCTTGAAAAAATGGGTTGGAAATCTGGATGTGGATTAGGAAAAAATGAAGATGGAAGAAAAGAACATATTGATTTAAAATATAAAAGCAATTTAAAAGGAGTTGGTTTTATAAATGGTATATATGATTCAACATGGATCGAACATTCACGTTCATTTGATTCACTTCTTAAACAACTTAAACAATCTCATCCATCATCGGATTTATCTTCATCATCATCTTGTATTAATGATTTTAATCAAACTGTTCAACAAACTAAAACAAGATTTACGTTTGTTTCATTAAACTTATCTTATTTTAATTATTTATGTCAATTATTTGTTTAGTTATAAAAAACAATCAAGTGGAAAAGATTTAAGTTCAAGATCAAATAATGAACTCGATTGTATATTTGGTTGGAATAAAGATAATCAAATAAATCCTGACCAAACAAAACAAGATTCAGATGAAGAAAAGGTTTCTTTTTTTTATTATTATTAATTGAATTTATTTTTTTTTTTTTTTTGTTTAAGAAAAGTGAAACAATATCAGATAATCTTTATAAAACAAGTAAACAATCAATACACGACTATTTTAAAGAAAAATCAAAAAAAAAAGTTCTTATTCAATCGGGAGAATGTCAATCTTCAAATGATCATCAAATTAATTCAGGTTAATTAGTTCATTAAAAAACTAATATAATATTATTTTTTGTTATTTTGTGAACAAATGAACTTTTTCATGAAAACAATTTAATCAAATTAAAAAAAAAACAAATTGATTTTATCTGAGAATAATTTTCATAATATATAAATGTGACTACTAGATTTCAATTGATTTAAAATAAGTCTCGTCAAATATCTATTTCTATAGAAATTGTTCGAAAGGTTAATAATAGTTCTCAATAGATTTAATCGATAAAAATCGATTTATCTATAATATTGTCTTTAATCATAGAAACTGATTGAGAAAGATAAAGTCTATTATTAGGATTTCTATAAATAATTCTATCGAGATCATATTAGAAATAAGAATTTTATTTTTCGTTAAATACATATATGATTCTCGTTTAAATCAGTGGCGGATTTCGGCTACGCTGGAAACGATTGTTCCTACTCGAAAGAAAAGACTTTCGGTTTTCCTCAAGGAAAAAGACTTAAAAATAAGGTGTTACTAGCTCTAATCAACTTGAAAAGATGTTTTTTGATGATGATGATCGTCTCCTATGATAAAAATCGTCAATTCGTAATTAGTTAAAACGTTTTCAATCTGGTGAAATCTAAAGAAGAAATAATTAAATGTGCATGATCGAAATTTTGATAATAAATTCTTTTATAATTTAATCGATAATAATTCTTGATATATGAGAGATATTTAAGATGAATATATCCTTTAATATCATTTTTATTTTTAGTCGATAAAAGTTCATCTTATCAACAAATTCCATTGAATAAATCAGTTAAACAATTAATTGATAAACAAGTTGAATTAACATCTGATACAATTTCAATAAATAAAAGAAAGCATAATAGAGGTTTCCGTTTTTTTTCTATTAAATATATTTATTTCTAATAAATAAATTTGTTTTTATTTGAAGAATCGACCAACGATATTGATCAATCAGAAAAAATAAATAAAAAGATAAAATCTAATATATCAAGTAATATAAATAGATTTATTATTTATTAAAATAATTCTTTTCTTTGCTTTTTTTTTCATTAAAATAGATATTGAAAATCCGTATATAGGTTCAAATTTATCCGAATTCGAAGGATATCAAGGTTGGAATATTGATTCGACTTTAGAAAATATAATTAAAAAAAAAGATAAACAAAAAAAACGTCATAAATAATATATCGTTTTTAATTTATTGTTATTTGATTAACAAAAAAAAAAAAATGAAAGGAAGATTTTGTTATTTCAGATAGAAATTGTTCAAAGGAAAAATGTTTTATCGAAATCATCTTATTAAATTTTCATATCGATGTTTTTCAAGTGAATCTCGAATAAATTCATTTATTAAATCAAAATTAATGTCAGCTGAAGATGTTGCAGAAAAATTCCCTGAAAAAGTAACTATTGGAGCATCTGGTTTCACACCAGCTGGTTATCCTAAAGTAATACCCGGTGCTTTTGCTCAAAGAATTAAAAATTCGAAAAATCCTGAAAATTTTTCAATTAATTTATATACAGGTGCATCAACTGGTGATGAACTTGATGGAGTTTTAGCACGTAGTGGAAGATTAAAATTAAAAATTCCTTATCAATCACATAAAGATCTAAGAAAATTAATTAATCAAGGAAAAGTTAATTTTATTGATATGCATTTAAGTCATGTTAGTAAATATATAAGAGAAGGAATATTTCCACCAATTGATGTTGCTATTGTTGAAGCTTGTGATGTTACATCAGATGGAAGAATTTATTTAACTAATTCAAGTGGAATGAGTGGAACTTATTTACCTTTAGCTAAAGATATTTATATTGAATTAAATGAAGCACATCCGTTAGATATGAAAGGTCTTCATGATATTTATTTACCTGAAATTCATACTGGAAGACCAATTAATATTGATTATGTTGATGATAGAATTGGTAAATAATATTTCATTTATTATTTTATATTTAAATTAATCATATATTCATTTGAATTTCTCGATTTATATATCGATTTAGGGTATGTTTAATAGAGATTTCACCATAGATATCAATTATCACAAATAAACTAACTCATTAATTAGTAATATATTCAATTCAACCAAACTTATATTTGTTAGTTACTAAAAAACATTGAAAATAAACTTTCGAAACTGTTAAACGAGTTAAGAAGATTATGAAGTATTGAATAAATAGATTTTATGTTTATCAATGGATATCAATGATGACGAAACTCGTCAAATAACTTGATTAACTTCAATTTTGACTTCGTGTTAATCTATTTATCAATATGATTCATATTGAGAAATCGATATCAACCTTTATTGAATTTTTCAATGATTTTTCTTAGTATGTCGAGATATTCTCTAGACAAGTATTAAATCCTTTCTATCCTCTTACTTCTATTCGTTGGTTTGTTATATATATATATTGATAAATATTCTATTTTTATTATTAATTTATCAAGATATGATCAACAAACAAAAAACAAATATGAAATAACAATTTATGTCAATATAATAATAATTCAACTCTTTTATGAGTTAACATTTTAAAATAAAGGTTGAAGTTTAACTTTTAAAAAAAAGGTTTTACTCAGAATATATTGTCTAATGATCGATGATAGACTAGATAAAAACTGAATTGAATATAAAGTATCTTTATGAAAAGATATTTGATAGTTATGAGATTGAATATCGAAAGATGAAAGGATTGTTAGGATCCTCACATTGAGAATGATCGTCGTGTCAATTACTTCAAACGATTATCTTTCGAGAAAAAAAACAACAAAATATGACTTGAAGAGATTTGTTTTATTAACTGTCAATCTTTTAGGATATATTTAAGAATAATATATTCATTCTATAGGTCAACTTTTTTTATTGAAATTGTTAAGTATTTTAAAAAAAAAATAAATTTGTGTTAAAGGTACACCATATGTTCGTGTTAATCCTGAAAAAATAAAAGGAATTGTTTTAACAAATAAATATGATTCATCTCCAGGTAATTAAATCAATAAATTAATTTATTATTTAAATAATTATTTAAACAAACTAAGGTTTTAAAAAACCTGATGATGCAAGTTTTAAAATAGCAAATCATCTTCTGGATTTTATTCTTGATGAAGTTGAACATGGAAGTAAGTTTATTGAGAATATTTTTTTTCTTTCTATTTATAATAAATAAATAAAATTAAAAGGAATTCCAAAAACATTACTTCCATTTCAATCGGGTGTTGGAAATGTTGCCAATGCTGTTTTAGCTTGTATAGGTAAATGAATATATTTGTTTATTTAAATCTCATTTAATTTGTTAATTAGCTCAAGATAATCGTTTTAAATCTATTGAAATGTATACAGAAGTAATTCAAGATTCAATATTTGATTTAATTGATAGTGATAAACTTCGTTTTGCATCAACAACAGCATTAACTTTTTCATCAGAAGGACAAAAAAGATTTCATAGAGATTTATATGAACTTAAATCAAAATTTATTTTACGTCCTATGGAAATATCAAATAATCCTGAAGTTATTCGTCGAATAGGTCTTATTACAATGAATACAGCATTAGAAGCTGATATTTATGGAAATGTTAATTCAACACATGTTCTTGGTTCTTCTATGATGAATGGAATTGGTGGTAGTGGAGATTTTACTAGAAATGCTGTAATTATTCGACTTTTTTTTTCTAATTTATTTATTTGAAATATTCGGTGTTTTTTTTTGTTAAAATTAGTATATATCAATATTTATGACCCCATCAGTAGCTAAAGATGGAAAAATTTCATCATTTGTTCCAATGGTCTCACATGTTGATCATAATGAACATTCAGTTCAAATAATGGTTAGTGAACAAGGTTTAGCTGATTTACGTGCTAAAACTCCAAAACAACGAGCTGAATTAATTATTGAAAAATGTGTTCATCCTATGTATAAAGATCTATTAAGAGATTATTTTCAACACGCTCAACGTGTTTCATTTGGTCAACATACTCCACATGATCTAAAACAAGCTCTTTCATGGCATATTAGATTACAAGAAACTGGTTCGATGCATCCAGATCATCAAGCAAAAAAGGAACCAACAAGTAAAGATACAGAAAAAGCAGCACAGAAAATTGATCAAACAGCAGCAACCAAAAAATAATTATCTATTGAGATTATATTCTGGTCAATTATTATTCTTGTTTTATTTGAGACGTATTATTATAATATAGTTGATTATTTTTTCTTCATTTTTACGTTAAATTAACAATCCTCAACAAGATGTCAATTCAATGCGTTTAACTTTATTTAATAAATATCATTTGATTAATTTAGTATTTTATTTTCTTCTTTTCAATTCGTCTAAGTCATTATCAAATCGATTTAACATTCTTTTTTTTATTAATTAACTTTAATAGATGTTTAAAAAATGATACTAACAATCAGTTAATAGATACTATCCAAAAATTATACCATATCCACATAAATTCCTACAATAAGATTTATTTCATTCGAAGAAACTAATTATATTGATCTGTTGATTATCTATTAACATGAACATGATTGTTTATTATTCATTGCTATTCTCAACTCTTTTTTTTGTCTATTATTCCATAAATGATAATATGATAGAAATGAAACAAATTCCTCTTTCAAAATAAAAGAACCTTCCTTATTTTTCTTTTTCAATCCCATTATGATCGATTCCATATAAGGGACAAACGATCCCTGTAGGAGGTCTTCAATTGATATTCTCCGATTCCGCTCATTTTAGTACAGAGCTGTGGCCAAAACAAATTTGCGCAAATTTTCTTTTTATCTTAGGATCTTTTTCCTATGGCTTGAAGCAACTATAAGCGTTATTTTGTCTAGGACTGACTCTTCGATAGTTATACCAGATAATGACTAACGGATGGTGCAAAAGTATCTGGACAAAAATAAAAATCATCGTATCCCTGAGATGCTTCAATCGTGTCTATTTATTTTTCAATAAAAAATCTAGCGCAATAAAGTGAACAAAACCATCATCATCATCATGTCCCATAGGCTTAGCGCCCGTTGGGGCTAACCATTTACGAGATCAGATTTTTCCACGCCTGTCGGTCTTGCGCAAGATGAAACAGATCTTGTCCACTGCGTTGACACCATTCGGTTATATCATCCAGCCACTCTCTGCATGGACGCCCCCGTCTAAATTTTCCATCCATTTTAGCAAAAACAACATGTTTAATTTATCTAGTGTCGTCCATTCTGCAGATGTGACCAAATAACCTTAGCTTTCTTCTTTTGATAGTATCTATTATCGTCTCTTCTTTTGACGTCCTTTTCCTAATATCCTCGTTTCGTATCATGTCCTGCCAATTAATTTTTAGAATCCGTCGGTAGCATTTCATTTCAAAAGCCAATAGTTTTTTTCTGTCTGCCTCTTTTAAAGTCCATGTCTCTGACGCGTATAGTAGGACACTGAAGACGCATGTTGTTAAAATTCTGAGTTTGTTTTCAATCTTCAGTTTTTTACTGTTCCAGATATGTTTCAATGAGACCAATGCACCTGTCGCTTTTCCTATTCTCCTTTTGATTTCCTCTGAGCAGTTGTTATCCCATGTCAGCAGACTTCCAAGGTATTCAAATTTTTCTACATTTTCGATGGTTCCACCTGCTACATCGATTTTACTTTCTGTATTCCTGTCTCCAAAAACCATGGTTTTGGTTTTATTTATATTTAGCATCAGTCCAGCTTGTTCGGCCGCTGTCTTTGTTAGCTCAATTTGGCTTTGAAGTGAGCTAAGATCTTCATCTATAAGACCAATATCGCCAGCGAATCTTACAATGGAACGGTTTGTATTGATAAGCGAGTTGGACGACCATTTGGGGTGCAAATGGTCACCATCACTGAGAAACTAACAAATCTAAAATATGAGCTGCTGATGGCTACTCTGGACAGAGATATTCAATTTTTAAGTTCTGCATTAATTGAGTATAAAACGTGTTACAATATGAAATATTCACATCAGCTTTTAATATAATCATCAGATTTGTTAGGAATTGAGTTTCGAAAATCGAGAGGAGTCTTATTAACACCATTTAGGCTACTCTATATACGATCTCTTATGAATTTTAACAGTCTAGAGGAGAAGATATATCGAGTATTACATATGAAAACTTCTCATTCATCAATAGTTTCAACCTTATTTTACAATAAGTAGATAAGCTATACAAAATAACATTTCAGAAGATCTATTATAAATGGAGATGGAGATCTTCAATCAAATGATAATAACAAAGAGGTTTTCTGCACCAGGCGCAAGTTAGAAGAGTCCGTTCTTCACAACGAGTAGCTGAACAATAAAGATCATAAAATTTAAAACAAATTTCCTTCGGTTTTTTTATTTCACCAACTATTTCGTTGAGTATTTTAGCTTGCACGAATCCAGACTTGATGAGGTTTTTAAATTGTGGAGCAGATAATTGATTGTGAATGATAGAATGCATATTAATAAAATATTGACGATCGTTCAAGTTCATTTCTGTTCGATTGATATGGACATAATGTTCGATTTTCTCATGAATAAATCGCCATGAACGAAATAATGATAGATCTTGCGGTTGAATATGACCAGTAGATCCTTGAGGAAAAATTAATAATTGACTGTCTTGATGTGGAAACACTGCTCTAAATTTTTTTAGATCAGTTTGAGTTGTCCAACAATCAAGGAAAAGAAGGAATTTTCTACCAACCAAAGGACGTAGAACTTCATTTAAAAATATGCGATGTTTTTCATCACTACTTTTTCCCGATTTTGAAGCTCGTACGACAACATTTGGTGGTACGATTAGATCCTTCTGTACTCTCGTACCGAATTCATTTTCTTTTTCTTGGAGAATAAGAAAGAATTTACCTAATAATTGACCGTCAGCTGATGTAACTGGCTGTAATGTGTAAGAATGTGTTACATTATTCTTTCTCTTAACAGCAACTTCGGTTGTTCTTTCACCAGTAAAGGAAAGAGTTCTTGGTAATATATATTCTTGTTGAAATGAACAATGGTCACTGTTTAAAATTTGATGAGGCGAATAATTGAAGATTAGAGATCTTTGACTTCTGATCCAGTCGTGAGCATCTAAAATATATATGTTACATTATGACGGATAGATTGGAATGTCACGTAAATATTTACAAACCTTTCAAACTACAAGTTTTTCTTCTTGAAGAAATTCGTGTGACAAGTTTGTTGTACCTTCTTGATGAAATCCGGTGTTCTCTCTTGAATATCGTAATAAATGATTCACTTGCTTTGAAATTATCCCAACCCAGTTCTCTTGCTTTTTGAATTGCAAAAAGTTCTAGATCATTGTCATGAACTGCTTCTTTTTCGATTGTCCGTTTCACGTAGAATTCATTCCACATAAAATCTTTGATTTTTTTTAACTTTTCTGATTTTGTACCATTTGTTTTAATATATTCCCTGAATCTTGTAATATAATACATATATTTGACTTTTCGAAATCTATTCTTGATACTTGCAAATGTATAATTTGGATGTTCATCAACCCATTCTATTATATCTTCCATCTCTTCTAATGTAAAATTATTCCGAATATTCAAGTATTGATTATCATCATAATCGTCCATATTCTGTTCTTCATCAGTTGATTCTTCTTCATCATTCGATTTTTCTTCATCAGTGCTGTCTTCTTCGTCTGTCATATCATCATATTCATCATGGAAATCGAGAGTTTCATAAGTGTGTAATTCATTAAAGTAGCTATCCTTGAATGTCTTTAAAATTTCGAATAACTGTTGTGAAGCCAAAATTTCATCATCACTTGTTGGTGAGTTTTCACAATAAAATTCCACTTGTATCAAATGAAGAACATGTTTCGCAATGTTCATCAAATTCATTTTATTAATCGATGAGGTCAATCTTTTCAAATTTTAGTCGTGGTGGAAAATGAGAAAGAACGTTATATCGAATGCGCATTTGATTGAAAATTACGATTACCAATCATAAAGGAATATATTTTGAATTTATTAAGCGATGCATTAATGCACTTAATTTCCACATATCTTATATATGAACACTATTCAAACGTAATAGTTGTTTTTTTTTTAATTCTAGACTGTTAAAATTCATAAGAGATCGTATATAGAGTAGCCTAAATGGTGTTAATAAGACTCCTCTCGATTTTCGAAACTCAATTCCTAACAAATCTGATGATTATATTAAAAGCTGATGTGAATATTTCATATTGTAACACGTTTTATACTCAATTAATGCAGAACTTAAAAATTGAATATCTCTGTCCAGAGTAGCCATCAGCAGCTCATATTTTAGATTTGTTAGTTTCTCAGTGATGGTGACCATTTGCACCCCAAATGGTCGTCCAACTCGCTTATCAATACAAACCGTTCCATTGTCAGTTGCTTTTGTGCAACTAAAGAATTGCATGTGCTCCTACAAAGTCTGATTGGCAAAAAACAAAAAAAAAATATCTGAAACCGTGTTTGACCACTTTGTAATTCCTATTAGACTAATAGAAAATTTCAGTTCACCCGATTCTATAATTAAGATTTTTGAAAAAAAAACAAACTTTTATATATGAAAGGTTCGAGCAAAATACATTTAACTCAAGAAAAGAAGGCTGTCATCATAAAACTATAAAAGAGACTGTTATTTCTGACTAGCACTAATCAAACGATAAATATTCATAAATGAAAAATTATTTCACAACTGCAAATATGACCTTATAACTTTCCGTATTCATTCCACTAAAAGGTCTTACAATATTTAAAAAGGAATAAAAAATCAAGCAAAGAAAACAACAGTTTTTGAAAACCAATGAGCACTAGAGACCTCTCTAAAGGGTTGGACTTTAATATTATAAGAAAAATTTATTTAATACACATAAGAAAAAACTTCCTGAAGAACTGAAAAAAGCTTGTGAAGTATAATATAGATTTATTAATTAATTATTAAGTTATTTAATTATAATAAAACTAATCTCAGATTCGGATTTTCCGCGCTCGATGATCTTATGGTCAAATTTTTTCAAAAATTAATATTACTATTTATTAATTAATTATTTAATTAATTAATAATAATAAAACTAAACTCTGATTCTGATTCCTCGTTCTTGATTACCTTTCGGTCAAACTTTTCAAAAATTAATGTTCACATACGACATACATTGATATACATAAGAAAAAACGTTTCTGAAGAGGTACTGAAAAAACTTTGTAAAATATAATATAGATTGTCTTTGCAAGAATAAAATTTCTTTGGGAAAATCAATCAATTTCTCTTCTTTTTAGATTTAACTATATTTGAAAATTCATCATCCAACATTATTTCGTCAGTTTACTTGCATTTCTATGTGTCCTTTTAAATTAATTTATTTCATTGATACTATTTGACAGATAGTATCTCTTGTATGCATTTATTGAATGGTCAAATTTAAATAATCTTTTATTTCATCATATTCAGATAGAATATCAATACTGTGCAGAGACGTAAATAGAAGTGGGTCCTCATATGCTTCTCCTGCTTTTGAAATTTAACAAGAAAACATTCCTATTTTGGATACTTTTCTGTATTGAATTGTCTACGAATATTAAATCACATATAGGATTTGTTTAATAAACAAATATTCTTGAGAAATAAAACAAAACGAAACAATTTATTTATCTTCGAATCGATCAAAACCGAAGAAAACGATCATTGGATAGATCTGCTTGAATTCCAGTTACTGGCCTATAATTAATTGATATTTAGTCAATATATCGATGAGATGCTGTTTGTCAACGATAGACTGTATTTGTACAGATTTCACATATTAACTCAAGTCGTTGTCTATTTGAAGTAAAGAAAAAAAATGAAATAAAATAATTAAAAAAAAAATTTATATTTTTGTTTTGTATAACAATTTCTTCTCTGTAATATATTAATGAATAAGACAATAAAGAGAAAGCTGATTTTTGATAAAAAATCAAATAATCTTTTAACAGTTGAAGTAAGTAGGGAATCATGAAAATTTGAATGTCAAGTGTCATATGCCATTAAAATATGTTATAACAATGAATTGCTTATATTATTATAATTTATCGCACATGAGTAGATATGATATATCGATTTTCACAAGTGACCTTAATGTACTACTCATGTGGATTGAATGCAAACGTCAATATTTGTATTTATATTTTAGTTGGAAAAAGAATCTAGATGATCATAGAAATGTGTGTGTATGACGGGTAGATTCTTTCTTCACTCATATTCCCATTTATGACGAACTCTTTTCGGAGAATTTTATCGAATTTATTTAATATTGAGAAAAACGGATTGAGAATGTTGTCTGACACCAATACTATGCATATTTAGGAGTGTCCGTCTTAAAAAAAAAGAAAAAAACTCAATTTCCGTTAAAAGATGAACTTTTTCGATAGGTATACTGCTTGAGATGGCTAGTGTATGTATTTATATAAAAAGGTTTGATTGTCGAAGATTCTTGGAAGCATCTAGACAAATAATGATGTCTGGAGTAATCAGTAGAATTTTTTTGTAGAGTTAAATTTACAAATTAAACAAATATTTATTAGAAATAATCAAATATTGCACATCCAAGAGATATAATTTAGAAATCTTTATTAACTTATAAGTATGAATCTTCTCTTAATCCACAAGCAAAACTCACAGAGATATACGTCGATATTCTATAGACTCAATTAAGATTCGAGGTTTAATCAAGATAGATCGTTTATATAAAATAAAATAGCGTATTTCTTATGATTTAATAATTAAAACTAATCGTCAGTATCGGTCTGTGAAGAGACACTATGTCAATAAAGGAGTTAAATAATGTGACATAAAAAATATAAGGGCAATGGTAAGTAGTGAATATTATAGGAAGAAAATCTAATGTACACCGATGGACGTGTTATATATTTAAGGTTTACCTGCCTTTTAAGAAATAATACGAAAAATATATAAAGGAAAAATTTCTTTAGTGCTTTGCTCAAAATTGCTTTATTAGTAATGACCGAGCTGCGGATGATTTTTTTTTCAATAGATTTCATTCTAGAAAGTTCTATTCTTTTCATCATTGATAGATATATGCATAATACTTGAGATGTCGAAAAAGAATTTTCTAAATAATCGTCGATGATAATGAAGCACTAAGCTTTCCAAAAATAAATTAAGATTTTCAGATTTTTTTGAATTTCCGATGTTCGAAAAAAAATAAAGAAAAGTAGAAATTAAATCTAATCACTCCTCCATCTAATTAGTCAGTAGTTCTCTTTCAAGTTGATCTATGAAAATCTTCTGAACAGTTGACTATATAAAATTGGTTTCTTTTTGTATTATTGTACTTCCATGAGCCAAACATATATAGAAAATTTCACCAATATCTCATGTATACTATCGTTATTGAATTTTTTAGAAGAACTTAAGAAGAAGAAGAGAATCACCAAAGTCATTTTTACTATTTAATATTATTTTAAAATCTGATGGAGTATTTTCTCTAGAATAAATTTTCTCTAGAATAAATATCAAAATATATATTTCATGGAAGATCTTTCACAAAATATTGATTTCATTTCGAAATAATCATCATAAAATATATTTAATAAAAATAATTAAATAATACTAATCAGCTTATATGCATAATAATCAAGGATGAATGATTATCAATCGGAATTAACGGTTGGCGCATAAACGAATGACTCTAGAAGTATTTTATGAATATCTCTTTTAGTTATTGATAGTTCAACTTGAAGTTTTTTTTTAAAAAGATAGTTCGTAAAACTCTCTATAAAATCCCATAGAAAGTGATCGTTAAAAAGCGTAACTGGAAAAGTATATCTGACCATCAATACCCCATTCCAAAAAGATTTAACTTCAACTTTCTTTTTTTGTTTTTCAATTCGGCGCTGCTCTTTTATTACACGCAGAAAAAAATCCAAGACTCCATTTTGTGGGTCACAAGAAGATCCATCGGCTGCACAAATACTTTTTTTGTAATCTGTGTTATAACTATCCAAACAAAAATATTTTTTCTCCTTCTTTATTCGCGTTTTAACGATCGTCTATGATAAATCATCAAAATTTTTGTTGAGTTAAGTCAAATATTTAATTAATACGAATGCAGACATACATGCGTCGGCGGCTGACAAAGGATTAATCAGAGAGTGAGTGATTCAATATTGTAAACTTTAATAACAATTCGAATTCAATTCGAAAAAAGTCAAATTTGCCTATCCGTGATCTGAATATGTTTCCATAAGACAGACGATTATTATATGTTTACTTTTACGAAGACAATATATTAATTATATTGATTAGTATTTTTTATAATAGTTTTCTTCTATTTCTATTATAAATGAGACTTATATCGAATATTGATTAAATATTTCAATATTCGTTGTGACTACAGAATAAAAGGCGTTTTTTATCATTATTTTAAATAATCTGTCCAATAATGTATTATTCGTTGACAAAAGGTAGTTGTCATATAATTTATTTTAATTCTATTCAATATGAAACATCAAAAAAACAAAGTAAAGAACAATAGATTAACTAGTTCTCTATTGAAAAGATTTCTGATAAGTAGTCTATTCTAAGAACAATTTACATACTAAATCAAATAAGGCCACTTGTAAATTATTGGGAAAAAAATCGGCCTGCCATTCGGCATAACGCATTAAAATGAAGATATTTGCTTTGAGTAGAATTGCAAGGCGATAATACATATGATAATGATCGAAAAAACTGTCGATGTTAAATCCAATATAATATTCCAAAAAAGCAGCCACAACAAGAATTGGAGCTAATGAACCTTCGATGAACCAACGATAAAGACTCATTATTGTTACAGTATTATTGATATTCAACAATCCGAATCGTGTACATATAAAAGCAAAAAATACATAAACAAATGTCATTTTCATTTCGTTTTTTAATATAATTATTTGAAATGAATAGCCTTCTTCTCGTTCAGATGTCGAAAAGAAATTATTTAGAATAAATCCACGAAATGGAAGATACCAACGAGGATAAAACAAGAAAAAACCCATAGTAATAAACATTACAAAAGCATACATATGGATCAATAATAATTGAATGACCAGTATTGTCATGAAATGAATGCGAAGCCAAACGCTCACGTTGACAAAACATAATGTGTGATTATCTTTAATCAATGATAATTTACTATTTAATGAAACCAATGTTTGATCGATCGATGACATTAACATTAACCACTTTATATATACTTTATGCTCGATTATGTCAGAGGGCTTTAACTATTCTCTTTGTCTGAATTAACAATGGATGCGTTACTTACTAGTGACATCTTTTTTTTTATATTTTCCTTTGAATATATTCGAAATATTGACAAATAATCGTTACTGTCTAAGACAAACTACGAATTAAGAGAAAGAGTATCAAAACAAATAGAGGGCACGGTAAAGTCCCAGTGATAGAACAATAAGATTGCGTCAATATAAAATATGAATGAACCATATTTTACTACAACTGAATTTCATTGGTCCGTTATTAGAATTTTCCTACGGTCTCTATTTGATTTTACACTGTTTTTCTTATTTTGGTGATTTCTCCTAAAAGATGTCCATACATGACACTGTATCAAAACATGACTGATCTTATTGTGTCACACAATTTGTGTCGGTAACGTGTTCTATCGACATGATACAATCCTTCTTTATTTCAATGTTTTTGACTTGGATTTTTTTTCTAGACAACAATATTATGTCTCATAGTCTGTTGATCGAATAGGTGTGCTCAACGATATCATATTCTTTCGGTAGAGAGTGAATGACATTTGCGTCGCGTTACTTGTTTAATAGACAGAAATCGATCAAAATGGCAATCGTTTTGATTCTGTTTGTCAATAGCATGTTTATCGGCAGTTTCTCTAGCTGTATTAATGTGTTTCACTCTAACTGAAGCATTAAAATATCCATTATCAGAATATTAACGCTCTAATGAGTTTTACAAAACTTATCACAGATGTCAATGTCATTTTTTAATCGGTTTGAGGAGTTGACATGTGCATAAACGGGTATGATGGTAATTGGTACACGTCGACATTCAATACAACCTCGAACAACTCTTTAATTAACTGCTGTTCAATGAAAACTTAAATTCTTTCAGGCACGAGTTGCTTCAGGATCTCGACATACGACTGTGCCATGTGCAGATACTGATAACAACTCAGAAGGTGATCCAGAATGAATGAACGAATGTATATCCATCCATCACGCAGACACCTGAATCAAGTATTCTAGTTCCAACCAGTGCTGCTACCTTTGTTCAGTCCCTTTTCAATTGTCGAACAATTAGTTCACAATTAATGAGGTGATAACATGATCTAACATTGCATGATCTAAAAAGTGTTACATTAATTGTAGTAACAATTTTTGTTTGTTCTTTTTGCTATAGTCAGATACTGTTTAACGTCCTATACTCGGATGACTAATCCATGGATGAGACACAGTGATTCCTTGACGCCAAGGAACGTTCTTTCAGCACCAGGTACCCTCGAAATGTATCAGTACTCTCCAGTAGAGAAGTGAGAAGAAAAAATGAAATACATACTCTTTCAATCCTATTGAATCCTAACAATTCCAATAAGATTTTGATAATTTTGGACAGTCAAAATTTAGTAGAAAACGATTGATCAGATCATTCGAGATTCATGTCTAATTCGAGAGCTTTTTCGAAAGTGTCTCATGGGATTCGATAGTCAGATACTTTGTTATGACCAAGTACTAGACAAAAAATTGCAAAACATCAATTTTTTGATTAAAATATCTCATTGATTTAAAAATGAGACACTACACTATTCATTTATGAAATACTATTAAGATGCTTTTAAAATCTGCTTTATCTTAAAGTTTGCGGAAATTCGTTGAAAAAAGACGAAAAATTTCGTAAGAGAAGCCCCCAAATGTTCATATACACTTGGCACACTCACCTCTTCCCTTTTTCTGGAGATCGTTTAAGAATGACCTCTATTCTCATTGAATATTTACTCAAGAATAAATAACAGAACCAATTCTATTTGAAATATAATAAAGTCTTATGAAACGTTTTGAGATTTGTTCGAATGATCAAATGAGCAGATAAACATATCTGTTAAAGAGTTCAATCGTGTCAACTTTCAAACTTGAATTAACTTGTTTTAAATAAGAATAAAACAAGTGAATATTGATTTGTGTGTGTGTGTCAAGAATTCGTGGTAGGTTCAGAAATATAGATTTTTATCTCTAGAGATTATTGAAAATAGAGTTCGTTTTCTTACACAGTGTATGATAGGAAGAGATAAGACAAGAAAGTTGCAAGTTCGAGTAAACTTATTCGGTGCATTGAAGTATCGTTTGCCATAGTTTTATAATTATAGTGAATCAAGTCGAATAGTTTAGTAATGAAAAAAGGCTATTATGTTTCTGATCTAAGACAATTTTAACTGAACTTGGATTCGAAATAATAGTTGAATTAATTATTTACCGAAAAACTCAGCTTGACATAATTATGATGATTAGATTTGTTGATTGTGCCTGTTTTTAAAATATTTTTTAATAACTTCACAGTTTATTTAAAAAATGAATAGATGCCATAAAAAGATCTATCCCTATAAAATAGTAAAAAATTAACAACATTGGCTAATAGAACATAATAAAAATAAAGTATCTCAGCTGCTGTAACCTTTCCTAAACTTCTTTTTAAAAGATAACAGAAAGTTCCAGAAAAATTTTTACCACCGAATTTAGTAGCCAAGCGCAAGTGGCGTTTGTTACACTCTCTACGAACAACTGTCTATTCAACACAAGACCACAAGCAATGTAACGTGGACCGGAAAAGTTTAAGAGACTTTTATTTTTGAAGTTTTTCATCAAAGATTGATAGCTAGATCAAATTGAAATAGTGATTTGGATAGCTCTTGAAATTCCCTATCGAATATAATATGTGTCAAATTTTCGAAAGAAACTTTGCAAAGAGAGTTTTTCAGAAAAGTGTGCCAAAAAAATTTCAAGTTCTAAAGGATTTTGACAGAAAGATTTTTCAATATAAGCATTTGAAAGAGCAGAAAATTCTGAACAAAATGTAGGATCGTCCATCTCTGTACGATATTCCGTCACAAACTTATAAGAATTAGAAACAAACGAAAACACCGCGTTTTTCATCGATTTTTATCAAAAAAAGTCCTAAAACTCGATTAAAACTGAATTTTTTCGTTTTTTGTAATGTTTTTAAGTTTGCGACGGAATATCTAACAGAGCTGGGTGACCCTTCAATTGAAATAAACGTTGATTTTCATTAAATTTAACATTTTCTTCATGACAACGAACAGAACGAATACTACCGATGAAATCATCACTTTTCATTCTTCTATGATTATTTATTAAAAATTATTTTTCTTTATGGATTTGTGGAACTATTTCACATACTGTAGTTTTACCAGATCTAAAAATCAACTGATATATGATATTTAAAAATGATAATAAAAAGTGTAATCTAGTTTGTTCAACTAATAAAACTGGTTGATAAAAAAGAATAGATAAACCAGAAAGAATAGTTAATTATCTTAATGATTGTGTCCAAAGAATATGTTTTAATTGATTATTTTGTTTAATTTGTTGCCAGATTTCTCTAGTTGAATAGAGAACTATCTTCATCAATAAACATTTTTTTTATCAGAAAAATATTTTTCAATAATTTGTTTTAATAAAAATTTGATGATATAAATTTGTTGATCTACCAACTAATAATAAATATCCATGTTCACCTTAAAATTCTTCATAATTATCAGATGAATTTTTATATTATGTATAACATTGTGCCCAACGAAATAAATCTCTTTATCTAATTAAACTTGATTTACCAAAAGAAAAAAAAAATTCTTTTTGTCAACGATATTTTTGTAAATCAATCATTGTTTCTATTAGTAATTTTCAATATGTTTTAGGTAATTGATATTTCTTTTTTTCAATAATTATTTCTAATTCATATTCTAATAAATAATTAAAATCTAATTCAATAAAACGATTATGAAATCTACCTGATAAACGTTTACGTCCAGTATATTGTTCATCATCCCAACTTTCTCTTTCAAACAATTGAAAACATTCATCACCATTTATTAATTGATTTGTTTCACTTAAATATAATTCTCTATTATCATATAATAAACGATTTAATGCTTCTAATATATCACTTGCGTATCATGCTTTATTTCAATTTCCGGATAAACATTTTGTTTTCTGTTTATCAAGATACAGGAGATATTAGGAAGTATAGGAGATATACAATCTTATTGGAGATATTGATTAATTGGTATAGATGATCATTGAATAGCGTTTCAATTTAAATATCTATTCATTAAATATATTGTTACCACTTGCCAAATCTTGATCGAATAAAATCAATTCCTAGATCTCCTATATCTTGATAAACAGGAAACAAAAGAGATGTCTGGAAATTGAAATAAAGCATCTAATCTAAAAAAAATGTCATTCCACGGTAGTAAATCGCATTTTTGTTAGCTCTCGAATCAAGTATGAAAAATTCGTCTGATGAAAAGTTAGCCCTGGTCAAGACTTTTAAAACAAAAAACAACATCAATGATACCTCGGACCAAGTGGGAGTTATTTGAATTTTCCTGTCTAGGAACAGTGTTTTGAGAAAAACTCTAAAGAAGTTTTAAGAGTATGCGCAGAAGTGTTTTGCCAGGGGATTAATATTGTTATTTTAAATAGGATCAATAAACAATTTTGTACCAAATTAAAGCGCATCAAAAATGAAATCTATCAGTAGTAAATAGTAAAAGTTCTATAAACTTTTCAAAAATCGTTTGATATTGATGATTTTGAAGAAGATCTAGTTTGAACCGTATCTCATGCAGGAAAACTTTCTTTGACAAAATGACATCAAATTCTAGAAATTTCATTAATTCAACATTGAAAAGTTACTAAAACTTTTACTATTTAATACTGATAGATCCCATTTTTGACGCGCTTTAATTTGGCATAAAATTTTTTATTGATACTATTTAAAATAACAGTGTTACCCCTCTCGAAAGACACTTTAATGCACACTATAGAAATGGATTTTTCATTCAAATCCAGAACAAATCATATTACAATCGGATATTTTTTATATATTTCAGTAGACTGTTTGAAAGTACGTGATCGATGAAGGTAGCTAATGCCATCTGATATGCTGGATGGTATTAAAATCTTCTATTCAATGATAATACAAGTGGCAACGCACTTTTTCCCAAACTGAAAAATTTTAAAAACCACGAAAATTTTTTAGTCGACTCAAAGTTTCATGTGATAAGTTTTTGAAAATCTGGTCATTTTCCTGGAAGCCATATATATTCTGAAAGAGGAAGGTTCGCTTCATCTTCCTATGATAAAAACTTAACTTGAATATTTTCTTGAAAAATTCGATTTTCTAAGAATCCCCTTAATAGATAGAAATCGATCAAAAAGGCAATCGTTTTGATTCTGTTTGTCAATAGGATGTTTTATCGTCAGTTTCTCTATCTCTATTAATGTGTATCATTCTAACTCGAGCATTAAAGTACCATTATCAGAATATTAACATTCTAATGAGTTTTATAAAATTTGTCAGAGGTGTCAATATCATTTTTTAATCTATTTGAAGAGGTGACATCTGCATAAATAGGTATGATGGTACTTGGTAGAGATCGACATCCAATACAATCTCAAACAACTCTTTAATTAACTGGTGTCCAATCGAAATTAAAATT